TTCATGGGTTCTCTAATTGAAACTGCAAAAACTAAAGTACATTCAACCGTACCATCGTAAAATCCATTCTCTAGTAATAGTAGCTACCATAAACCATAGTATTTAAAATGTGAATATTTGTTTTTGTTCATGGTTAGTTTTTATTCAATTTCTCTGTCTTCTAATTTGGGTGGGCCTTATATAGCTGATAACTGTTATGCGATGATGGCGACGAATTATTTGAGGTAATAATACAAATTGTTTATTTCGGATTTGACGTAATAGATACATAAGTTTTTTTGTTATATTTGAAGTGAACCCATTTTTCAACTCTTCGGTCGATACAAGACTTTACAGAAAAGCGCATAAACTATGAAAGACCAAGAAAAATTCGACATGCTTTTGGACACAGGCAACATATTCGTAAATCACCGAAACGGACGCAATGTTTAACCGGCCGCTATATCTGTATTCCAAAGCGTCGACGAACGACTGAAACCGATTTCCAAGAACATCACTACTGGTAAACAAATTTATTCAGTGAAAACAGATATGTCTATCGCTGTTAAAAATACGATACCAAAAGAGACAGACTTTAACACCTAATGAAATTAAACTTACGCGTGTTTAAGTCTATTTTAGGCGCGAAAGTTTTATAGAGTAATATAACTTCGTACAGTCGCGTTCATTACTTTATTTGGGTTGGTTCAAAATTAAAGAAACTTAAAATTAATGATAAAAAATATTGTGCGTGTAATTGCGCACACACATATGAAGTAAAACTTCTTTACGACATATAATTCTTATTTTATTTTATATTTTACACAACCAGTTTAAAGAATAGTATACTCACGCAGCCCTGGTAGTGAAACGTTACATGAAAACGTGACGTTTTTAATACCATAAAAAATTTCTCTACTACGTCGATAAAAAAGTTTCACTTCAAAAATTTTCTGTATCCTAACTGGATACTAAAATATTTTTTTATTTTTTTTCTGCAACAGCTGCGAATGGGTATCTTCTAGTAAGGAGGATTCCAATCATCGTCAATCGTTGGCGACCGCAGTGTAAGGTGTTTTGAACTTTACGTATGTCGGAAACGATGTGTCAATTCTATTTCTACAATATTTTTTTAAGGAATGGGGGTGACAAACGAGCACACAGTGATGGTAAGTAAATGTTGTGGCACACAGACATCTACATTTATGTTCGATTAATGATCAAAATGCAGATTCGTGGTCACCCTTGTGTGCTAAGATTGCCTCGTTTCCAGTAAAAAGGGTCTCCGTTTCTCTACACTCAACATACGAAACACAGCAACATTAAGCCACTATTTTACGCTGGTATTCTGTGAGAGCGTGGTCCTTCCGCAGTCGAGCCGACCCATTCGTGCTACAACCATATTATAGCTGCAGCGTGGCTGGCTCTACTCTGTGAAATCACGTAACGGTAGCTATAACATTTTACTGGCATTTCCCATATTCACTGATTTTTGATACTTATGTTTCAGTAATATTGATAGTTATAAAGGTTTTTTTTTAATTTATGTTACTTTCTAAGTCAACATACTATCTAAAATAATCTAATCTAAAAGTCTCGTTATGTAATGTTAATCGACACTTCGTATCAGTGATTTAAACCGCTCATACGGTAGCTTGCAATAGCCACAGATTTTTTTTATGGTTACTTTAACGCGACACGTTTATAACAAGTGTCTGATTTATATAGAAGACATTGTGTTATCGTTAGGAGGGCAGTGCTTATACCTAACCTTTACCGCAGAATAAATAATATCAAACCTTTACTAAGAAATACCTTTTGACAGCTGTCACATTTATGGTAAAAATCGGTACCTACAACATTCGATTCTTAAGAGATAGCGATATCGATTCTTTTAATCATTTACAGTTTTATCTAAATAAATACCACAATAAATTAGAAACAGAAAAAACACAAAATTTATCAGTTTTTCATATTGCTAATTACTAGAGATAAAGTTGTATAAATTAAAGAGAAACTAGATTAAAAACAAATTCATTCAATCACTTTCACTAAAATAATTTTTTATTTTCTACAATAAATATTATAATAACGCCAAAAAATAAAAATAAAAATTGCAGTTGCAAACTTGTTTGCCAATCGTGGCAACCATGGAGTATCATAGTGGCAATTATGGCAAATATCCTCTATAACCCAATCTATGGTGGATGCATACGAGTATGTTCATGTCTATGTCTATGTGTGCAGCAAAGTTTGGTTGGTGTTAAGCCATGTTTCATCAATGAATATGCCGTTGTCCCAATTGGTTATATTTTTACTTTGCATTTATGGCCCTAAATAATTAATTTGTTTTTGTCAAATTTTTTTTTGTATCGGAAGCAAATTTTTTTTCAAATGGTTCTTAATGACTCTATTCATTCAGATTTCGTTCATTGTACATGCCGGCATCTTCTTAACTTACTAGCAACTTCACCTCATTAGGATTCACAGAAATTATAAAAAATACACTTCTAAAATTCATGATTCATATAATTTTTGCATGTCTAAAATAAAATTTTACATAAAGAAATAATAAATTAAAAATTGTAAAGGTTCGATAATGTAAATACATATATAAGTATGATATTGAAGCATTCAAGCACTACGGTAAGGTGCATAACGACTTATCATTGAAACGACGTCAAGCATAAAAGTTGGATATAGTAATTTGTTTTTATATTTTGCTTTGCATGAAAAATTCAAATTTTAATGAGTGATAAAGAATTACACGTAATGTAATGTAGATAAATGTATAAATCTTTGTTTGTACGTAAAAGGTTATTTTAAGTAAGTAAGTACGCTTGTACAAAGTTATTGCGTAATGATTAATGTGAAACGTCTATATATATATATATATATATATATATATCTATATATCTATATCTATATATATATATATTAGAAAAAGCGTTAAGGAAAAATCACGAAATAGCTTTGGCAGTCGCCTCTTCCAGTATTGCAGCGACGTTGCTGGATGGTGGTAAGGCAGCCAATTCTACATTTAGATTGCCCTTAAATATGATGCACGTAGAGATACCTATGTGTGCAGAGTATTATGCGGCAAGTTTTGAAAGAAACAAAACTTATTGTATGGAATGAGTGCATTTTGGCCCATAAAGAAGCCGTGGAGGCTGTCAGCAGAACATTGAGAGATATAAGATAAAATGGTACATTGATGGGTGGTGTTACAACAGTTCTTTTAGCGGGAGAATTTCTATAAACCTTACCGGTAGTACCGAGGGGAACAAGAGCAGATGAAACAAGGTCGTGTTTAAAGTCTTCATATTTGTGGCCTAATATTCATAAACTCGCTCTTAAGACAAATGTGAGAGTACTCTTGAAAGGTGATGCAACCGCTGGTCAGTTTGCACAAGCTTTAATTCAAATAGGGGATGGAGATTATCCTACAGTAGATAGTAAAGTTGTAATACCACCAAGTCTGGCCATAGTGGTAAAAACTCTTGCAGAGCTTACCGCTAATGTTTACCCAGACATCGTTAACATTATGATAAAACCCTTAGACTTAGTTGCTAGCGTACCATTTTGACTCCTAAAAATGACACAGCGGGTGACATTTCTTACGATCTGTTGCTAAAATCATTTGAAGGGGAAGAAATCAGCTATAAATCTGGGGACTCGTGATACATGTTGATAATGCAGTAAATTATCCCGACGAGTTTTTAAATACCCTTAAACCAGCAGGCCTTCCAGCTCATATACTCACCCTTAAACTGGGCGCACCAGTTATGTTATTGAGGATTTTAAAACCTCCACAAAAATATTTTAGAGGCAAAAGTAATCACGGATGTGTTGAGTTCAAGAGATTACGATTTCCCCTGAATATGATTGGATTAGACTTACAGAAGAGCTGCTTTTCTCACGGACGGTTTTATGTGGCCTGTTCGGGAGTAGGTGCAGCAAGCTGTCTGGCAGATTTAACACGCAAGAGCCGTGCCACAAATGTTGTGTACAAAGAGGAACTTAAATTAAAACCAACATGCCTTTTAAACATATGATTTATTATCATGTAGGCCAAAAACAAGGAAGCAATAAAAATGTCGTCAAAAGATACACAATATTTTGTGGATCCGCATGGAATTAGCGTAGAATGTGAAACTTAAAGGGGTATTCCGATTCCATAAAGTATTTGTGGTATGAACACTGTTTTCCCTTGAGCACATCCGGTGATTACTTCGGCCTTTAAGTTTAATTCCAACTCGCCGAGATAACATAACATTACTGCATCATCAACTTGTAATAATAATTGCATAAGCTTATAGCCTCTATATAGGTACGCCTTTTGCAGCGAGAAAATTTCATAATCTCTTAGGAAATCAGAAATTGTACGCGAATCGCGACCGTTGTTAGTTCAATATATCCTGTTGGAGTCTGAAATATAACGTTGGTAAAATTATATTACAGTATTAAACATGACAAGAAATATATATATATATATATATATATGTTAGCTTATTATATAATTATAATAGCTTCAACTATTTTCTTTTTCAAAACACAAACAGTGTCGTCTTTTTAATGTAGTTACTGTAAAGATTTAATTTGTACTACATGTTCGAATCCCAGTGACAATATTTTATGCAGAAACACAAATTATTGTCTCGGCCTGTCAAGCCTGGATTTAATCATGCAAACTTTCCCTATGTATCTTAAGCCTTAGGCCTAATTTTGTCGGATAAATGTAGGTGAGTACGAGTTTCGCTGTATTTTTGTAATTTTTACGGCTTCATGATAAGCTCAATTAACAACTTTTAATTGTATAACTGGACAATGTTACTAAGGCCAGATAGACAGAATTTAATGATTAGCAAATAATTTTTATATATTCGAATTATGTGTGGGTTTTAGAGGCACAAATTTTATCTCACATAAAGAATCCTAGTTTAACGCAAAACACCCCAAAAATGGCAATCGAAAAATTCTTACTAAACTTCAATAGGATCGTGGACGGGTAACAACATTACCTGCAGCAGTATCGGTTCTGCCCTCGCCACCAGTTTGGCCAACGTGGTGACTATGATCAAGTCTCAAGTCATGCATGCGTCCGGTCCACCTATCATCTTCACAAACCCTTACAAATTTTGCCATTTTCTTGAATTTCCACACGCACACGAACGCTAGGTTTAAAAACGGTCGTAATGTACAAAGATTTGTTTATTCTGTGACTCTAGATGAATGAATCAGTGGGACCTGCCGAAGTAACTTTTGCAGACTTAACTTCGTAAGTTGTATTTTCCTTAAAAATATAAATTCAAAATATTCACCAAATTAGTCACCCCACCTCGTAAATTTTACGATAAATTATTACCGTAAGAGAGAAATTTACGAGAATAATAACTGAATCAACTACTAAGGATATAAGAGCAGTGCTAAGTGGTAAGATAATAGGGAAGCTCATGGGCAAAGCCCTCGCCGTAAGTTCAAAAGTACGCGAGTACCGGCAACACCCATTGGGGCAGTTTAGCACGCGGCGAACTCTTCCTTGCCCTAAACCCAGAAATGAAAGGTGGTCTGTTTTCAGTTGTGAGATGAATGTAGGTATGTATGATGAATGTAACTTTCTTTACTTAGGATGGATATCCTTATGGTGGCAGCGTAAAATAAAATACACAATCCGTGGATTTTATAAGGTTTGACTTGAGAAAATGCCATGCTTCAAATATTATTCGAACCATCAGCGGAGTGAGACACAGTATCAAAAGTACCTCAGCAGTCTGCCAAGTGCGGTGGTGGAGAAATCTACATACAGCGGTGCTGGTGATAATTCGATGAAGATGAGAATATTAGATACCATTGTTTTCATGTTTGATAAGTTTCTTTAAACGTTGTCACTAAATTTATATATATATATATATATATATATATATATATATATATATATATATATATAAGTTTTTTTACGTGATAGAGCCATGCTGCAGTTATATTGTGGTTGCAGCACGAATGGGTCAGCTCGACCGGGATAGGGCCACGCTCTCACAGAATACCAGCGTAAAATAGTAGCTTAATGCTGCTGTATTTCGTATGGTGAGTGTAAAGAAGCGGAGACCCTTTGTACTGAAAACGAGACATTCCATTTCAGTCCTCAGGTCTGGCAACACATTTGCATTTTGATTTTTAATTGTAGATAAATGTAGATGTCTAATGACCACAGCATCCACTTATCATCAGGTAGACTGTGTGTCAACCTCATATTATATAAAAATATGTAACAGGTATATATGTAAATATGTATCAATACGGAAACTTTTTATTAAATATTTTGTATAGCTGCGATTAAAAGTTAAACATAATCTCTATATATAAAAATCAATTGCAGTCCGTTTGTCTAGCTAATAAACTCAAAAACGGCTCAACCGTTTTTGATAAATTTTTTTTGTGTTTGAATGGGTCCCTAAATGGCTTGCATTCACATTTGGACCCGGTAGGTTTGTCTATTATCGAGATCCAGAAATCACCCGTGTGAAGCCGGAACGGATCGGTAGTACCACATAAATATTTGAAAGTTTTAGTTTCTAATTTTCTAGGTTACAGAATAGAAAATTATCTTGAAAAGAATTAATATTTTATACAGTTTAGATATGCATACAAAAAACGAAAATTAACATAAACAGTAAATGTTCTTAGAAACAAAAGAAGAAAATAGACTTGTATAAATATTGCTTGTGATTTCATGCAAAGTTTGTTGACAGCGTCACATTGAACCACCTATGAGACGAGACTGGAAAATCTGGATGCTCACTGCGTGCGTCATCAGAAATCCGACATTTGCTGTTGAAACACAAGCTAGAAGTATTAAGTGGACCGGAGCTCGTGCCAAAAACTAAAAAATGTCATCATGTAATTATTACAAAAAAACACATAAGTCGTAATTTTTTAAAACTTTTACGATAAACAATATTTTATGTAATATAGTTTGAATGTACAACTACCTTAAACAATTAAGTATTCTCCTTCACAACTCCATTAGATTTTTTTAACTTTAACTCGAAGATGTGAAACTCTTTAAGGATAGAAGTTGGCCCAGGACTGTGTTTTGTGGCAATCTCTTGAGTAGCAAACTTGTAACGGCTGCAAATAATGACAATAATGACGATGATGTGAAATAATTGAATATCAGGATTCTGGCTACTAGATTGAATCTATGCCAAAGTTGTAAGGCGCCAAATAAGAGAGGATGACAACCTTAAGTGACTCACCGGGATGATGCCAAGCTCGACAGATGTCGACATTGATACCGCTTAGTTTGTACCTCGCGAGTTGTTGGTCTTTGTAAACTGAATATTTTGTTGACGAAATTATGTCATAAGGCTGTTGCTCCCTGAGAAGTGCGTATCATCTGCGAACCTTGTGTGTTTATGGCAAAATATGCATATGTGAACGGTTTATAACGATGCGAGTAGCTTTGTATGGAGGCAACGACCCAAGCAGTCAGATCTCAAATGCTTGGGTCAAAAATATCGAATATTTGATACAATATCAATATTTTGTAAGAGTATTATTAGTGGGTTCGAAAAAATATCGATAATGCAGCGTATTTTTAGACTCTATTCTTCAGTCGTCTGTATAATTTGCCGAAGAGTATGTATGAGGTATATGGTATTTATTACCATGTAGTTAGTACCTACGTTTTCGGAGCCATTTTCGGAAGGCTGGCAGTCGTCAAGTCTACGTGCGAAATTATTCCTTATGACTCGAAATCAGCACGTATACACGGCTTAGAAGGGAAATTGGTCTGTAGTTTTTCAATAGGGCGGTGTCGAATTTTTTGCGGAACAAAACCATCGCACTTCTGCTCCATTCCTCCGGAGCATACCGAGACTCCAAAAAAAATTTTTTTTCTTTCAATTTAGATTTTCCACTGCAATTCTATTCTCAAACGGCAGCTTGCCGTTTTTAAGGTTTGCGCCATTCTAATCTCGCTCAAACTTACGTCAGTGACGGAATATCATCGGAATATTTATTTTTTAATCCCATTATATAATCATCAACAGTTAACGAGTTGACGGCACGAAAACAATTTTATTTTAAACTTTAAATATATTCAAGTGTAATTTATTGGATATTAAACTCTGGTACGAATGGAATTTCGAGCTTAAAAAATATAAAACATGTACTTTAAACTTTGTCATTTGAATGTAAATATTATTGGGAAAGTGGGAAATTCAGAGAACTCAGTTAAAAAAACTACTTTTGTATGTAATCACGAAAACGTTTTTATTTCTAACTTAGATACCCGAGTATTACCTGTTATTTATTCGGTGTGTGTATTATTTATTGTGTAATTTTATTTAAAATAACAAAGCCTAAATTTAAGGCGATGGCTGACTCATCATTTTATATGCCATCAACTTCATTAATTATAATATAGTATTAAAATCACAATCAAGAGTAAGTATGCGCTATAACAGGAACATGACCAGGTTAGAATATTTTTTCAGACACAAGGTCATTTACATCACAAACGTTTGTATTTCGCGCAAATTTAATGTCGGCTTCAGCTGGGATTCAATCATAGGATCGCTGTCAAGATAATTATTCCGATATACTTTGAGGACCATGAGTTCTCTGGCATTTTTTTAAAGAATATTAGCAATGCTATGAACATTACTAATATAATAACCACTAGTGGTAAGCTTAAATTGCATGTGTTACGAGTGTGTACGCCAGTAGTCGGATGGTGGATTCGAACCCACGACCTTTTTGAGTTCGCAGTCCGCGCCCTGCCATTAGGCTACTGTCGCTTTTCATATTAACCAACTTCTACGAAACCTACAAAACAAGATAAAGTAATTCTCTCTTATGTTCGTCGTTATCACATAGCGATGTACAGATACCCAGCCTTTTCCAACTTTGGGAAATCCAACATCAGTGGGACAATGAGTACGAAATTGTTGGCTGAACCTACCGTGTCATTATAACTGGTCCGTTTAAAATTAATAAATGATGCACATTGGCATAAATACTATTCTTCACTTAGTTTATGCCCGTTGTTCAGGAAGTCGTGCATTTGTGAAATATTACCAAAAACATGTCATGATGCATGGTTTATTTGAAACTATTAACTTACAGATAAAGGGCGAATAAAAGTTATCACGTTTTATATTATATTTCCGTGTTTAGATACGTCGACTTTAACGTTGCAAATCACACAATTATTTTTGAGCATAACCAAATAAAAAAATAAATTAGTATAAACCTTCATTAAATTCTACATTGATTTTTAAGAAAGAATAAAGAAATAATACAGCTCTTCAGTATAGATTCTCGAGACATTGGTATTGGGATCAAAGATTGATTATAGCCGAACGTAAATCCTAAGAATGTGTTTTTTTTTTGTAAAATAACAGCCGATATGTTTCACAACTAGCCATATTACTTTTTGTTTTTGTTCATATCGTAGAATTAAGTACTTAGATTAAAAAATTCTCTTTTAAGTAATTAAAGTAAATATTTATTTATTTAGTTTATTTAAAACCTTTATTGTAGTAACCATAATGGTTTATTGTATTGTTACGAGCTTGAGGTTCGTGACAATAAAAATTGCCGGTAAAATTACCTAAATTAACACCTTAATTTACTTTACACAATTAAAGTTAAAACACTAATAATTTAAACACACTAATTCACTTAATTCCACTCCGAAACTTCGCTTGTTTCGCCCAAATCAACACTACCTCGATCGCATCTTGCAGCGCCTATATATTTGAATTAGCAAAGAAATATCCAGAATGTTCAAGTAAACACGCGGAAGGTACCGAGCGTTCGAGTTTCGACTAGGCGCTGTCAGTTGAGCGATTTGTGATGTCATTTTCTCAATGCTCCCCTCGCTCTCGTTCCTGACACTAGATGGCGCTAGTTGACTTATTCATGCAACACTGCCCCCTCCTAAGACATGCTCGTCACGAGCATTATCGGTCCCATAATAACGCGCCAAGCGATCCACGTGGACGATCTTAGGAGTCCCTCTTGCGCCTTTCTGTAACGGCTCCGCAATGTCAAGGGCTGTCCTATCCCGTGGTGCACCAACATTCTACAATTTTGGTGCTCCTCTACTACGTGTCCGAGGTCCCCGCACGGCCGCACAA